TTTGTTTGTTTGTTTGTTTAGACATTTACTCATGTCTATTAATTTGCTGACACCTTTATCCAAGGTGAGAAACATTCCAAATATTTAATCCAGCTCATCCAACCATTTCCTAAACACTTCATCCAGTACAGGCTCACAGGGGAGCTGAAGCCAATCCAGGCAAGCAGCTGACGCAAGGTAGGATACACCCTGGACGTCCTGGACGTCAGTCCATCGCAGGGCACACACAGATACCCACATTCACATCCAGGCCAATTTTCTCAGAAGCTAGATAACCTACGACTATGTCTTCCAACTGTGGGAGGAAACCAGAGGACTCAAAGGAAACTCACATGAACACTAGGAAAACATACAAACTCCACACAGACATTATTATGTGAGGCAGCAATGCTAACTGCTGCTCTCCCATGTCACCGTTCCAACCGTTAACTGTTTAAAATATCGAGATTAAAGAGGCAGTAAAACAGGGTAGACGAGTATAATAAATAAGTACATTATAGATTACAAAACAATAGCAGATGATAAAGCAATAGTTACAAATGAGATGAAGGATTACAACATATAAAAAGCAGGCAGTGGCCATGACAGCTTACACATTGCCAAACTGAACTGTGACCGGGACAACCACACTCGCTACTGGCGAACGCAAACTGTGGGACGTTATGTATGTAGACATTATTAGAAAGAGAAAACTGAAGCAAATGGCAGCTTCACAAGTATACAAGTTCAAGACGGATGCAGGGGCAATACAAGCATAGTCTGCACGGTTTGGAACTGAGGTTCAACCCACAGTTCAGACATGTTGTCCCATTTAATTTTTGTGTTGCTTTTCTCTCTCGATGCCACTCCTCAAATTCCGAAAACGTTTTCAATTTCTAAGGAAAAGGTCAGCGCTTTGTTTTACAACATGCCAATGGTTCACGGACCACCATTACCGTCACCTGTTCAGTGTGATTAGCAATGAAATAAGATGTCTCGTTGCTAGCTAGGCGGTGTCTCTTTCTGTAGGCATAATACTTAACAGCTAAAACACGATACTGTAGTTTAAAAATACTGATTCGATTCGTCACGCGTGCTCAAAAACATTGAAACTATTGAGTTACGAAAAAAATTAACTGAGCCTGGAAATCCCCACCCACTTTTCTCCAGTCACATGCTAACGAAAATGACATCATGTAAAAACGGGAATTAACAAAACACAAAGTTGCTTGATTTGATATCACCTTAATACGCGGTTAAGCCGATAAAAAGTAAAACCTCGATTATTAGTTTGGCTATCAGTTTTACTGAAGATATATTTCGAATGTTTAGTGACACTGCCTCAGAGGTTGTTTTAAAAAGGGTTGTTAATGCCAGGGAACACAAAATCCTTTCTGAGAAAACAGATTTGTCAGCACTGCATAAGCACTGTACATATGATGTGTTCTGGGACACGCAGGGATAATAGCACGCTTAATATAAATGCTATAATATAAACACTTTCTTGTTTAATTATTCTACAGCACAGTGCCACAGTAGAAACTTGCGTGAGATTACTAGATCCCCGTCTCGATTTTACACAACTAATTAACCCGTAACAGGGATCAATAATTTAGAACTTCAAATCAGTGTTTTAATTACGAAAAGCACTGAATTTATTATTTTTTTATTAATTGTCGCTGGAAATAGACTACATTTTCCTACTATATCAAGATGCCAAAAACAAAAATAGTCAGGTAGTATCAATAAAATAGAATCATTGTTATAATAATAGCATCATTCTTACCTTTTCAGTGCTTAAACTCTTCAATTTCACATACACAAAATTCTACTCAGCTTTACGATGTACAGGAGGAGTTTCTTACTGAACTTCCTACAGACGCAGCTCTTGAAATCACCTTCCAACAAGACAGAAATGACGTCACAAGACCGAACAGTCAGCAAACAACCAGCGTCCTCTTGCGTGCAGTTATGGGATATGTAGTTTTCCTCTGGTAACACGGTTGAAACCAATTAAGTATAGCATTCCAAGATTAAATCACTTTAAATGTTGTCATCATTTAGTATTAAAATCCCGTGTTGTTTTACGTTTTTATGCAATCCAACTATTTAGTTTCTGTTTATCACAGTCTGTGTTACAGCTTTAACAGAAGTAGAGCCCAGGCAAGGACACAAATTCAAACGTCAATAGAAGGCCAAATGATAAGCTGAAGCAGTGCTTCCAATTCTTCAGCACACACTTGTTGTTGAATGTATTGTGTTATTTTATTATTCAGTCTTTCACCTGATTCTTCCTCTCCACCAGATGTCAATAAGTTTCTAGTTCTAGAGTTCCAATATCCCAGACATCATTGTTCTGGGCACATCTCCACTATGCTGACTGTAATTTGCCTAGGTATCTCAACTTGCCTTTTTGATAAGAATCCAAAACTGCCAGTTAATGTTGTTGTGATCTTTGGGACCAACCAGCTTCATAGAGAGCCCCGAAATCTGTGTATTTTTAATTCTTGACCACATTTGTTGTAAAAATGATTAGATTTTATGATGTAACACCTGTATAATTAATAAATACCTTTTTCTACCTAAAGATCTCTCTTAAGAACATAACAGAAAAAAAACTTCCTGTTATTCACCTTTCTTGAAGCCATTGACTTGAGGAGAACACAGGCATTGTGTTACAGTTTGCTTTTGGATTATTTTTTTTTAAATTTTCTCTCTTCCTCTCATTGTAGACCCAGTTCAAATATCATAACTCACTTCACCTAAAACGGTGGTTTGTAAGAATTCATATTATTTAATATTCTATGATATATTCTGTTGTCGTGGACATGCATAAAAAAGACATTTCTGTATGATGTAACTGCAGTGAAATATACAGTCAAAACCTGTATCAGGAGGTGAAACTAAACATGGGAGTATAATATCTTCAGCTTGTCTGTGGCTTGTCTCTGAAAGTTGTTCCATTGTTAGAAGGACGTTTTGCCTGAATCTAAGAGTTTCAAATAAAGATTTCACAACCATTTAAAAGTTGTCTGTTGGCTGCACTCTGATGCCAACCATAAAAGTGGTTTCAGATAATTGGCCTTGGACTGTTGAAATGTTGCTATGCATCAGTACACAAGTGCTTTTGAGATTGCAAAACATATTAAATCCACAACAATAAAAACCACAGGAACAGTGTTCGGAGCAACAATTTGTGAAACTCACACAGCATTAAAGAAAATGTTATAACTGGAGCTGTTGTACATCACCCCCACTACAGTTCTATCCAAATTAATATCTTAGCTTGCACCCTTATTGATCACTTGAATAAAAAACATTAACGACAGCATCACACTATATATTAATATGCAAGCTGAACTTCACAAGTCATGAACGGAGTCATGCTTCAGGGAAACTCTGATGTCTAGACCATGCAAAACCAATAGGCTTTAAGGAAAATTAATCTTAAGCACACAAATTCAACCTGCGTTCATAGAGGATGCACAAAGGTACACATAACTGATGAGCAGGCTACATAAAACATCTAATGCTGAAATTAGATCATCTTGGTACAGATGTATTCAATGGAAAATATATTTAGCAATTTAGCAATTTCTTCAGCTCATTTTATGTGTGTAAATGGTACTCACATTTTGACTTACTGAACTAATTATTATCAATAGTTCAGGTTGGTAGCTGCGTTGGCATGCGTAGACTTATCAATTATTATCTTATTGAACAAAATATTTTTCAAGTGCATTTTGCAGGTACCTGTACCTAGATTATTATGTTATGTTACTTTCCTCCTGTCAGGGTTGACATCCTTCCTTTAGAGGGCGCTCTAACCTTTCCTGAGATCTATGTTAGTCTGATATCTGTATTTGCACCTGGGGTGTATTGCATATTGACTTCTGTATATAAGCCTAGGGCATCCCTTGCTCAGGGCTCAGCTTTGGAATATGGATGTCCGAAGGCTCGCCTACTACCGGGCTATAAAGACACCTGAGGGCACAGGCCTTGCCACAGACATCCTGACCCTCTGAGCCCAGGGCCTGGAGAACCTGGCCCCGTGCCTTCCGGGATTGTTTATGTTTCCTACGTGTCTGGAAGGAAGGACTGGTCTGGAGTTATGGACTGTACCCTGACTTTCCCTGTGAATTCGCCTGGAACTAGATGCCTTGTTTAATCCCCTGAGCACCAGATCACTGAATTCTTGCACCATCAATAAACCTGACTGCGTTTTCCCGAAATCTGTCTCCTGCCTTTTCTGGGTAATGCCGCTCCACATAGGGTCCAAACTACAAACCTCCGTGACACCTCCAATTCACTAGATCCAAACTGCCATTGTGAAGTTCTCTTTATTTCACTAGATATAAGTGATGTTTGAACCACAGTCTCATTTTCAAATTTGTAAATAAACCCAAAATGTGATTAAATACCAAATGCACATGAGCAGATAGGGATATTTTAATCAAATAATGGGACTGAAATATACAGTTTTATTACTTGGCATTTTTTATGGGTAGGGTGTCCATAATGCCATTTTCATTGTGGCGGTCATGGCTTTGCTAACAGATCAGTAATTTTACACTGTTCTGAGGTCAGAACGCTAGAAAAAAAGAAACAATGAGATTTAAAGGCTGTGTTTATTCAGTTTTATATTCCAAAACCATGAACTATTAAACAAAGCATCTGGAAAATTAACCACAGTAAACATTTCTTCCCCATCTCTCGCGAAATCCATTATTTAAGACACTCGGAGGCTGCGAGTCTATAAAATGGAGCACAGTTTGGATGTGTGCCGGATCTCTCGGTAAGGCTGGAGCCTCTCTTTCTTGGTTTCCCGGACAACGTGCGTGACCACAGGCATGCTGTCCACGGCTCTTCTCTTCTGCACCCGGTGCAGGAGGATCCGGTACACCCCAGTGATGGAGCTGCGGCAGTCCTTGCCCTGGTTGTTGCGGATGTGCTCTTCTGTGATGCCCAGGCTCTCCAGAGCCGCCTTCACCTCCGCTTCGTCCTCATCCAGCTCGGCAGGCTCGGCGAGGTACATGGGGTCCAGTTTGAAAGGCTCCATGGGATTGGGGAACTCCACAGACTGTAACCACTCACAGGCCATGATTTGGGCAATGGAGTGGCGGTCACTGGGCACAGGCTGCAAGATGCCCTTGATGAGTTTCTGGCATGACTCGGGCACATAGGGCGGGATGGTATAGTTCCCTTCCAGGATGCACTTCTTAAGCTTGGCTACGGTGTCGGCACGGAAAGGCATGGTGCCAGTCACCATAAAAAAGAGCAGGATGCCCAGTGCCCAAACGTCCACATAGCTTCCCACGTAGTTCTCATCTCTGAAGAGCTCGGGCGCCGCGTAAGGTGGTGAGCCACAGAAGGTGTTGAGAGTCTCCTCCTTCTTGCTGATTGTGCTGAAGCCAAAGTCACCCACTTTGACGCAGGTGTTACACGTGTAAAACACGTTCTCTGCCTTCAGGTCCCGATGGATGATGTTGCTGTCATGCTAAACATAGAGAACAAGAGTAAGAACAAAACGCCCTACTAAACAAATACAGAAAATATAATTACATTTATCATGGCGTTTATAGTCTGTAAGGAACAATTAATTTTCAAGAATACTGCACACTCCAATATTGAAGATATGGTATTAGTCATTAGATATAATAGCTAGAGGTTTTATAGCAGAAGACTATAAAGTTTGAATATCATATTTATAAATTAACATTATAAGCTTAGCTCTTGCTCCATGGACAAATCTTAGCAAGCAATTTTAAATGATTAGACATACAAATATTAACTTGAAGCATCCCATGTGTGCTTAATACTACATATACTTCACAGATTCTGAATAAAATCAAGAACACATGCAATGACTGTTTCTCCTTACTGGAGTTTAAAACTGTATTTCGGTCTTCCATCCCCAAGATGCCAATATAGCCACACTAAACCAAAAATAAGCGTTCATTAACAGGGATCCTATTCAATTACAGAAATCATCTGAATTAGCCATGCTTTTACTATAATGTGCTGTTCATACATTAGCAGGGCATGTGGGTACTGACATTACTCTACATCCCCGAGTTACAGTAGTAATTTGTTTAATTCTACAGTATTTCAGAGAATCTGTCAACAAATTCCTTCAATAAATGTTTTTGTTCACCAGGAACACACCAATTCCTTGAGAAGAGTAAAAAAGAAAGTATGAGACTGTTTGTGGAGCCTTCAGCTGCATGGATGCAAGAAGGTGAGACTTGAAATATGAGAGAAAGAGACAGAATGGGCAAAGCAAGAAAACAGATGTGAGAATGGCCAGGAGGCAGGTAAAAGGATATGCAAAGCTTAGAATCTGGGCTGTAAATTATGGGAACCCAGTTTAAGTATAATTTGGGCTTTTGACGTCTTTTTAGTATGTCCTTGTGAAAGGACACGGTCAGTGTAACCACATAATTTTAAATGTGAGATGCTATATCAAGCAGCACAGTGGCAGAGTGATGCTGGGACCCTGGGTTCTCTTCTGCACCCTGGCTGCTATCTGCATTGAGTTTGTCTTTTCTTCCCTTGTTAGTGTGGGTTTCCTCCCACAGGCCAGAGAAAGTCTGGTAGGTTAATTGGCCTCTGGAGGAACTGGCCATGGTGAGAGTGTGTGCTTGTTTTGTTTGTATCTGTGAGTGCCTTGTAAAGGACTGGCAGCCTGCCCTGTGCCCACTGCTAACTGGGATAACTCTGACTCCCCCGTGACACTGAATAAGAAGAAGCGTTTAGAAAATGGATGGATGGGTTAGAAAATGGGAGAGAAAGTAGGTGGGTGATCTAATCTTTTAGACGGAAGAGCTTTTATTAATAATTTTAAGACAGTATTTTATATATATTGAAATTGTTCATGAATTCATTTCTCAAAATATCTGCACCTGTGGCTGTGGAACCTTCTTCAGGTGTGTCTGTTGAAGGGTCAGGTGATATCAGGTCACATAAAAAAAAACTTTTACTTGTTCCTTAATTCCATACACAGTCTATTTAAACAGATCCTTTCCCTCACATGGAATTTCATTCCCTTTGAGTGCAACAGCTGTGCCTCCTTCTGCAGGTATTTCTGTAGTGAGGATAGTAGTTTCCGATGACCTGCCACTAGAGGGAGTTAAGGCCTCTATTGTTTGTGTCTGTTCAATTAAAAAAATGGAAGAGGGCTGCAGAGACACATTTTAATGTGAGATGGATTTAAACTATTTGGTATGTAAAGGGACTCACAATGGTTGGTTTATACTAGAGCAAATATTTGGTTTTTGGGAATGGAACATTTGGTTTAATAAAGGCTTCTGTGCACAATAATGTGCTGTCATTTGTGGTTTTCATGTGCGTAAGCCACATGAGTGGGAGACCTTCTGGAAAAGGCTCAAGATTACCCTAACCTTTACCAGGAATGCGTTGTTATGTAATAATGCATGGATCAGATATTATAAGAAGCTCCCAAATCCAAACTACAGAAAAGTGCAAGATGGCATAATAAAATAAGAATTTGTTGTGCACTGACTTCTCCTGCTATAATATGTTTCAAAAATGTCCCGATAGGTTTTTTTTTGGAATATGGAAGCATGTTTTTGGTGACCTCTGTGCTATGCACATCTTGTGCCAGTGTCTCCTATTTCTTCTGCAGCTTTATTATTTTGTTTTTTTAACATAAATGCATTCATGTAATCAGATCCTTGAGTCTTGTATCAGTCAGCCACTTGCTTACAATTGTCGCCCACAGTACTTTGCCCTCCAAGTTAGTCACAGTCTGCAAAATAATGAGCTCAGTTTTATCTTCCTTGAGAATACACTGCATCAGCAACAGCAATCACTTTGCTGTATGGTAAACCATTCTTTCCCTTCAAAGTTTCTCTCAACTGTCCTGTTACTCTTAGTATGTAGCCTGTCTTAGATCCACCAGTTCTCAACCATGCGTCACAATCATCACAATCAGGGAGAGCAGATGTCTGAAGCTACAGTTCTGAAAGAGTGCTCTACAGCAGAGTACCATATTTCCCATTATGTTATACATGGCTCAGGAGGCAGATATACAGGTATAGGTGAAGTATAATCTTCTAGTTCAATTGCATTGCTCAGATAGTATTTAAAACAAACTTTTTTGTGCTTAAGCAATGCTTAAAACAATTGTGTCTGCTTCTGGCAAATTATTTGCCCAGATATCATTGGCGGGGTATGCAGTATATGGACATTACATGTCAAATGCATTGTGTGAGACAAATCCTGTCACCTTATTGAAAAGCACCTCAAGAGCAGTCACACCACCTGGTACCAAATAAACAGAGTGCAAATAAACTGCCTCTACTAATATAACAATTCATAGGCATTCAGTAGCCAATCAACATGCGCATAACTTCTTTTTACTGATTTTCTGTAAATTCACTCAATTTATTGAATTGCAATACATATCTCATCATCCCTTTTTCTTATCAGTCACAGATTCTGTGTTCTTCTGAATTATTGCTTACATTAGTTTAACTGCAGTGACTATAGGAAACCCTGGAGGACTGCAACTGAAATTGAAGGTTACAAATTCAATTTAATAACACACAGTAGCCTACCAATGACACCCAGTGGTCACAACCGTAGAGCCGGCTTTTGCACAATGCAAAAGCAGGCTTGTGCACACAGACCCTGCCTAAAGCGCATTGATAATCAATGAGCCTGTCTGTTCCAATCTGTATTACACTGGCTTTCTATTGATGTGGACCATGATTTGTATTCTGGATTAAGATTTTCCCTCAACATGGCTGACTAACAATGCAAATCATTTTACTTACCCACATGACTGCTTAATAGACAACATCACTAGACTAACCAGTTCTACAACGGAAATCTTTAAGTTATGTTACACAAATCTGTGTAGTTTTTAAATCGTGTTACGAACTATTTTGTTGCAAATAATTGTAAATGTTTCCCTTGAGCTATATATAAACAACGATATATACATTTTCGGGTGTGAAGAAAAAAGAATCATGTGGCTAAAGTACACTTCTCCCTGAAAGAGTGTGAATGATCTTTGACTTATGGGAAAACATCAGCTTTGACAAACAATTCCTGTTATCCTTAGAGGGAATGAAAAATAACATTGGAACCTGGAACCTTACATTAGACTAGAATATAGAGAAACTGTATTTCTATAAGCCTGTTATATTTATTGGTTTGACTGTGCATGCACAGTTGTTATGCTATGTTACACAGTTCGAGAACACAGTTCCATTAAGGAAGACGGGACAGATTCAGTGGAGAGATGCAGGCAGACTAACCATGTGTTTGACCGCAGAGAGGATCTGAGAGAAGACGATCCTGCTGTCGATGTCGGACAGCTTGCCCTCCATGTTAATCTTGGCAAAGAGCTCCCCTCCTCCTGCGTACTCCATGACGAGATGCAGCTTGGAAAGGGTCTCCACCACCTCGTAGAGCCGGATCACATTGGGATGGTGCAGCTTCTCCATACTGGAGATCTCCCTGGACAGCAGTCGTTGGGTCTTCTGATCCAGCTTCGTCTTGTCCAGGATTTTGATTGCTACTTTCTCTGGAAGAGATACAATGGGAAAGGCGCCTCCTGAATCGAATCATGGGTAAAGCAGATCAAGCCATAGAAAAACATTACACACCAAGACCGATTCAAACCACAGACAAACTTCTTGGTCGGGGCTTTGTTGGGTGTGATGAATGTACCAAAGCAGCTTGTTGCAAGAATTGACTCCCTGTCGTAACTGAAGTTAACCAACAGGACATTGTGAGAAAAAAAAAAGAAGTACAATGAGACTTCTAAAAGGATGAAGGGAAGTCTTGGATGGTATAGATAACATATGGTAGGATAAGAAACTGAACAGACCAAAACCATCCAAAATATACAAGGATTTTCATTAGGCCAGAGATTATTCTGTTTTCCAGGTGTGAAGCGATCAGATAGCATTTGACTCCACTCCCCCCTGGAAGGGACACCAGCCTGTCACAGGGTCTACCTCCAGCATTGCTGGTTTCCATTCATACAGCTGGGTGGACTGGAGTAATTGGGTTGAGAATGAAATGGCCTTTAATTTACAGGAAGAAACACTATCTGGTAGGTTTACCAGTTTAGGGTTGTCAATATACTAAGGTCTATTAATGGTACTGTACTGACAGACAGAAGTCACAAAGCTTGGAGAGAACATACTGTAACACAGTATTATAATAAACAACTTTCCTACATTTTCAGTAAATCAAATACACTACTGGTTTATAATATATGTGCCCTTGGTTTTCCTCACTCACACCTTCTGTGAACACAGAGGGGAATGGAACAGATGTCCCTTATTACATAACCCTTTAAGTTTCCCTAATGTGTTCTGAGAAGAGCTCCTAATTCTGTTGGTGATGTACCCATCATCAGTGCATTGTGAATCCCATGTCAATCTTATTAAAATAATCTTCATAATAACAGCTATCCCATTACACTCTGCAAGCTGCAAGGTTGCTGGGGGGGGGGTCTATATTTAGTCTTTATGTTGTAAGCCTTCTGAGGAGAGAACAGATCAATGCAGCATCAGTGAAGCAGTGAAGATGTGCAGGCCTGGATTAATGAATTTAATTTCATCTGCACGAAACCCACAATCTTTTTTTTCCTTTTCTATTTCCAGTTGTCTTTTAAACTGATATGTAGAGTGTCTAGAAATACATAGGTCACATGATCTGCCTTTACACTTTCTGAATATTTTGGAAAGCAGGAAAATTCGTTTCTGTCTCATGCAGTCAACTAGGGATTAATGACTTTGAGCTATACACTACAGATTTACTTTACAGAAGCAGAGATCTCTGGGTATTTCAGAGAGAAATTGCTCATTATACACATTTGAATCTACAATGCATACGGAAATAACATTGCTATATAATGTACTGTAACTTAATTTGTCTGTGAAAGTAAATTGAAGTTGTGTGGTGAAAGTGCTCACGTGTATAAAAAAGACTTTGCTTTACTGGACATCGGCAGACAAAACAATTTAGAAAATTTGGACTTTCCCAACAGGGAAATGCATATACAGTATAATAAAACAAGGTACAAATAAATACAACATAAAAATTTGGGAATGTCAGAGGTGCCCTATAAGGGAAGGTCAACTGCTTACAATGGGTGTTGCTTGTGTTTCGTATGCTCTAGTGAAGTTTGTATTGTCATACATTTATGACAATTAAATAAAAACTTGTTTACTTATTATAAAAATTATAAAAAGAACAATTTTTTATTGACTGTGTTGATTGAGATGGTTAAAAATGAGTCAAAAGATCCTAAAAGCATATATAATATACTGAATGTATTTCTCATATAACTGTGCTTTTGGGCTGACGGGCTGACACACCTTCTTCTCTATTAATCCATTAAACTGGGGGTTTACTGTACTTACAGTATACTATAAAGGCCTGATATATAAAGAAACAGGATAACCCTACAGTTCCACTCCATACATTTCAAAATAGTTTTTTAAAAAAATCTTTTAAGGAAGACTTTATTAAAGCTTAATTTTGGATAATATAATCTTATTGAATATATTACCATAGACAATGGTGTGAAAGCTTTCTAAATATGTGAGAATCATAGTGAGTAAAATAGCATTTCTTTTTCACATCAGTTTTTAACCATTGTTTCAGCTTTCTACTGTACCAAAAACTACCTGCATGTTGTGAGTACAGTACTAGATGCATGTAATATTGTGTAAAAAAGCCATTTGAAGGTATGTACCAAGGGTAAAGAATGATAAATTATTAAAAAAAAACATTGAGATTAAATTTCTGTTCTTACCTATTAAGCACTTTTATCTAATGTATCCAATTTTAAACTTTTGCTGCATTAGTTATGTTTTCCAACTCCACCTCATCATTCAATCTACCAAGCTTCAGCAACGTTGCAGAGCTTTGTGTTTTGTTACGGAAATAGAATCTACACCAAACATTCAAATTTGATGGAGTATGTGGCTGTTCAAGTAATACAAAGGATACCTAAAACCAAAAACTATTTTTAACAATTAAGAGGAAAAATCAGAAATTAATACTGTCTTTCAGGGTAGAATGGGTTAGCTCTTTTACCTAAAATACTACATAAAATATTGTAACAATCCTTCTGCTCTATAAAGCATCTTTTAACAGTTCTGATACATGCTTTCCATAAATAAGGTTAAAAACAGTCATAGTGTATTCATAACCCCTACAAAACATAATAAAATAACATGAATGAAAGCCACATTGCAATATAACATTTGACAAAAATTATCAGGACCTCTATTACCAAATTGCAGAAGCTTTCAAAGTTCTTAATTGTGTCTTCCATCATTTTCACCTGACTTCTCTCTACCTGGACTTCTGCTCTTACACTTTCTCTTAAAAGTCCTCTTCATGAATACCTGCGTGTCTATAATGTCATTTGCACAAATGTTTCTAAAGTATTCCTGCAAGTTGTTATATTGTGCAGTGTAGTGTTCATGGTGTTTTTTTTGCAAAAAAACAACCATTAAATCAAAAGATCAACTCACCTGAATTAGAATATTCAGAGAAACTTATCTTTAGTGGCTTTAAATTTGCCAATAACTTTTGCATATATCCAAAAGGATGACATCAACTGGGGGGTTGGGAATTTGTGTCAGATGGGTGAGTCACCATGTGTGAATTCCACATCAGATTTTAAGTTTTGTTTATGCTCATTCAAATATAGCAGATTTACCATCTGCACTGGGACCACTACTCTCCCTAAAGTATATTAATGATCTAGATTTTGCTATAGTTATTGAACTAATCAGGTTTTTATAGATTATGACAAAATTGGAGAATTAGTGAACACCATAGCAGCAGGAAATAAAATTAAAAAATTCATCAAAGAACACATTGAAATTCAAGACAGGTCAAGGACTTGGCATATTACATTTGACGTAAAAAAGTGTAGAATATTGTAGGCATTTATGCAAAAACAAACTATAAATACACAACGGAAAACACGGGGCCAGAAGAGTTGTTTATGTTGCCACATTATTTACATCTTCTAGACAATGTGGGTAGGCAATGTAAAGACATACATTTAGGATACGTGCATAATGAGTAGAATTTAAATGGTGTTCTGTTAAAATTGTATAATGCAGTGTTATATACAGTAAATGTATATTGCAATACACTATAAGGCCTCATTTGAAATAGTGTGCACAATTGTGGTCACCATGCTACAGAATAGATATTGCTTGTCTCTGGAATCGGTTCAGAGGACTGCAACCTGATGTATTCCTGGACAAAGGATTGTCTTGCTCTGACACAGGCTGAAAGAACTGAGCCTTTCTAGTTTTGAGAGAAGATTACAAAGGTAACTGATTACAGAATTTAAAATGAAATAGCAGCAACTACACGCGAGGGCATTTCAAACCAAAAATCAGAGGAAGGATGTTACACAAAGGGTTGTGGGAGTGTGTAACAAGGCATGATGTTGTAGCTGATATCCTGGCTTCTTTAAAAAAACGAATGGATGAGTTAGCCATTTATCAACCAATTGGGCTAGACAGGCTGAATAGTCACCTTGTGTTAGCAACCTTTCTGATGTTCAAAATGTGCATACACCACTGTGCAATGTACAGAGCTGTTTTGAAAAGCACGTTTGATTAGTGTAATACCCCATTTGATAATATATTATTGTTATTTTGGGATGAAACATTATTTCACAGCATAGCAAGCTCTACAATGCCAGCCACTTTCTTCTCAACCCCAGACAGATGCAGGAGCAGTAGCCCTGTGTTGACGGGAGGGAGGGCAGCAAATCTCTTACCTTTGGTGAGGGAGTGGATGCCCAGTTTGACCTGGGAGAAATTGCCGCTGCCGATCTCGCCTCGCACCCTGTAGAAGCCGATCCTCTTGCCCAGGGTCAGCTCCTTGACCACCTTCTCGTCCTGGGACATGTCGAGGGTGAGCTTCTCGAAGGGAGTGAGCCGCCGGTGCTGCCCACCTTCCTCCTCGGCATAGCACTCAGTGCGGAGGTAGTCCTCGGCGCTGTCCTGCCGGCTCCAGCGCGCATACCGCTGGCTCCCCAAGCCCCCCCCATTCATGTACACCGCCGTCATGGTGCCGCACCCTTAACTCATGGCAGGGCTCCCGCAGGACAGCGCTAGGAGGGCTGCGATGGCAACTGCAAAGAGACCCGAGCAACAAGCCACCTTCAGCAAAATGGTCCTGCTTTTCTAAAAGGTTTCAGTTTTTCAAGCAGAAGTCTGTCAGGGAGGTCAAGTCAAGTATAAGGAAGGAGGAGAAGAAGAAAAAAAGAGAGGACTATGAAAGACCAACAGGCTTTGACCTTGCCTCTTCTACACAGGGCAACAATCAATTAAAAATGTTTTCAACTCTATCACCCTGTAACTCACTGGAGCTCAGCGGGAGTGAGCCTAGATGGGAGACCTCCTGGGAAAAATCAGGTCTTGGAAGAGGTCTTAGAGGGGCCGGTAGGAGGTGCTCGGCTCGCGGTCTGTGTGGATCCTAATGCCCCAGTATAGTGACAGGAACAGTATACTGTAAAAAGGTGCCGTCATTCGTAAAAACGTAAAACCGAGGACCTGACTCTCTGTGGTCATTAAAAATCCCAGGGCGTTTTTGGAAAAGAGTAGTTGTGTTACCCCTGCATCTTGGCTACACTACCTTCCCCCGAGCCTTTATCAGTCTTGACCTCCTAAAAGACCCCATGTAAAAACTGGCTTCTTTACTCTGTTCTTCTCCCCACTGATAGCTGATGTGTGGTGAGCGTTCACTATGGCTGCCATCGCATCATCCAGGTGGGGCTGCACATTGGTGGTGGTGGAGGGGAGTCCCCATTACCTGTAAAGCGCTTTGAGTGGAGTGTGCAGAATACATACATATAAATGTAATGAGTTATTCTTATTAAACAGTATAGCGCAGCATGGTAGTAGCATATGGTACTGCTACAGCCTGACAAGTTTTTGGGTCCTGGGTTCGAGTCAGACCAGAACACATTGCAGAGTACGGAGTTTCCATGTTCATGTGGATTTTCTCAGGGTGGTCTGGTATCCTCAAACCCTCCCCAGACTAAATCTACTAGTGTGTGTGCCCTGCAAAGTAGTGACATCAGGTCCATGCTGTGTTCCGGCTTTCTATCCTGTATTTCTGGGATAGTCTTTATGTTACTCAGGCCCAATGAGGAATATATGGCTTTCTGACAATGGATGGATGGATTAAACAGTAAGAAAAGAAAATCAATTAATTTATTTATAGAGCTCCTTGATAGACAGTGAAAGCAACACAATCTGAAGCAATCACAATCTCTTGTGACACACTACCAAAAAAGGAAAACAAATGGTCAAGCACACATTTCTGAGATATAAATATAAAATCGCATAGAACAGTAAAATGTCCATACCATAAAATAAGGTAATATGAGGAGTTCTTCAAGGACAACTGAATGTCCTGAACTCCATTAGGATATTTTTAATTCTAGGTAGAAATGAGAAGTCTGGTAACTCATCATACTTTTATCACAACGGGTACTTTAAAACATGCATCATAAGGCAAATAAAAATTTGTAGCAACAAGGATAACTTACATAAATTGCTTCAGTATTATGAATTATAGTATATTATCAAAGCTGAATTTTAGTTTGGACTTACAGTGAAATTCAAAATCCAAGATTTACCCAGATAAATTATTTAAAAAAATGAATGACATGCATTTAAAAATGAATGAACTGTTACATTGTTCCATTAATAAAGCAACAACAATAAAGGCAAGCTTTTAGAGTGAATAAACCAATCATTCCATATGATGCCCAGCTGTGCTGGATTTAAATGTATTATGAATTAATCATCCAAGCAGCTCAGTCTATTAATTTCAATGATTTGTGTTTCATATGCAGTGTTCTTTCATGTGTGCGGTTTGACGTTAAAACCGAGAGCTACTGTAGGAGAAGCCAGAACAAAAGATAGGATGTTCATTGCAGTTTACAGAAGCACAAAAGAACTATAGAGCTAAGGTAAGATTATTTGAATTCGTTGTGGCAATTATCTGATGTCAAAGTCATGTCCACACTGTGGATCAATCATTAATATTTCTTTCAAAAATGGCTTACAAAACATCTTAAAATTGACGGGTAAGCTTTTCAATTTCAGAGCAACACTTTTCATTTATTCTCATAAAAACCTTCCCTATGCAAAACATTGTGAAGGATAAATCCGTTAAAAAATTTTCAAGGTGAGTTCAATCCCTTTTGTCTTTGCATTTGTGTAAATCTTACCTTCATATACCTCTGCCATGTAGAAAAGAATTGCTCCAAAGTTCATCTCCTTGGCTTTCCACATGTCATAATTTTCCGAAGGCTCTTCAGTGTGGACAATCTAGGATATTGTAATTCATTTATTGCAATGGTATGCCATGAAAACAGAGTTTGCATTTAAGTAAAAGCCTTTAAAAAAAGGCTTAAAAGCGTCAGTTTAACCAAACAAAAGTTGTTGTTCTTGTCTCTCTCTTCTTGCCATTCTAAAGCCACACTTCAGCACATGGGAAGAGAGTTTCACGTTGCCTCTAGATTACTGGCATTTCCAGGTTTGGTTTAGTTGTAAATTAAAAAAGTGGCTCGGCGAAGTAAACTTTGACACAAGGCAAATCAAGGCAAACTGAAGGCTCCAGGTGAGTTGCCGGCTAGGAATTCCTACTAACAGTTCATGAAGGCTGTCAAGGCTTTGGCCTTTTCATCCTCTGTCACCGTTTCTTGTTTGACCTGGGGTTCGGTATCTCCATCGTTGCTGACTCATGGCCTCTGCTGTGGCCACTCTGCTGGGATTCCCATTGTTCCTGTCGTCAGACACAAAGATAGGATTAAAGGGAACAGCTACGCATCTTAATCTGTTCCTTATTTAGGCTTCACTAAAGCCCTGAAGTTTGCGAAATGGAAAAGGGATTCCCCAGGCCAGTCAAAAGATCAAGAAGGAAATTCAAATACCTCCTCTTATCATTGTCAACATCTATCACATGAGTTCAGATTGCCTTAGTAACGATAAGAAAGCATCAAGTACAGAAACAATACAATTTTACAATATATGTCTTCAGGGCAAACTGATATAGAATTAATTAATAATAAGATGAAGTAAGAAAAAAAACTGTCTACATATCTTCATGCTAAAGTCCCCTAAAAACACATTAGCATATTTTATTATTAGCCTATTTTATTTAATCAGATTTTCATTGTAATATTATGCAACAGTTTTAATAAAGCTAAGCTTTCCATAGTTTTGCTTTTCTTTTTAAAATCAGGAATGCAAAAGCTGCCCTTAAAGAAGTGCTTCTTCCTTGTAAGGAAGGGATGGGATGAAGCATTTTGATGATATAATATGACATTTTATCCAGCAAAGCATATACTTTGCTGAACATTTGTTCTATTTTTCTTTTCATTCTTGTATTTTTTCTTGGGTAGAAATTATTTAAATAAAAAGACTGTGACTTTGAATGACCTAGACTTGGGGGTTAGTTCCCTGTTATGCAAAAGCTCCATGACATTTAGCTGTAACCCTGTACCACTAAACTCTCTTGGTATAATGCATGGAACACACTTGTTTTCTGCATTCCAAAATTATGAACCAATTATAAATCAGATTTATATGAGATGCAAAATAATGGGAGGGGTTTCTTGCATAAGTATAAGTCAGCACATGATACCTTTCAAATAGAAGGAGAAATTATTTTAATTTAACAAAATCAGTGTAATCAGTTTCTTGCCATGAAAGTAATTGCCTTCTTAACAGATTCACTCTTTCCAGTTTGGGATTTTTCTCTCATGAACAGTAGCGTTTAATTTTTTTAAAGTAGAGGAACAGAACAAATTCAGCCAGAACCTAAATGGTTTTCCTGAAAACACGGAATACATTTATTGCTGCACTTCTCTGTGTATCTTCACAATAGTCAAGCCCTCCTTTCCTCAGGTCTTCCAGAAAAAAAAAATCTTCAACTAGCTAGTTGGACTTCGCAGCTAGGATTGGTTTAAGCCACAAAGCACTTCTGAAGTGTGTACTGTCACTATGGCTGCAAAAACCTGATTGTAGTTACATAACTGACCTAAAAGCTTCTCTCACCACAGAGGAACAGCTACAATCACTGCCGGCTGGATGGATGAGCCATAATGTCATAAACAGAGTAAGACAATGATCTGCAGTTTGGCAAGCCTCGCTAAGACGCTGTCACAGCGGGATTAAGAACACAGAGTTCGCAATCAACTGGTTTGTGAAAAACAATCCTACCAGTACTAGACATAAAAGTATTAAAGGAAAGATTTTTTAAACTGAGTTTTTACATTTTTAAAGTTTTAAAAACACATTTTAATTCCATTTTTGGAAGGACAAATTAATATATCACAGAAATAGGTCTTCTAACTAGATACACATCCAAGTTCTAGCTCTGCGTGCAATTTAATTTTTTGAAACTGCTGTTGTAACTAAGGTCACTTACAGTCTTATTGCACGCTCACCTATTATCAACCATATTTTGATATAGACTATGACAGACATACCAAAGAAATTACTAACAATTGTGAATGTTGGCTCTTTGTGCTGAGAAAAGCTGTGTCATCCTGCTAAGAAAAATCTCTTTCAGGACCAACTGACTTTCCCGTGTTTAACTATTTCCCATTCTTAACTTTGCTTTGTTTGGAATCTGAAAAGGAAATTTACTTGTATATGTTTTTTTTTTCCCAAAAAGACAGCCTACTCATTTATTTTCCACAAATCATAGTTTATTTGCAAGTTTTTCCTTTGGGAAACATTGTTAATTATTGACGTGATGTTACTTATTGTACTGCTTCGCACATCTCTTGTACAGAAAGCTACAGTGGGCAATTGGATTTTGTGCTACAGGGATATCTTATTAATCACTCAATCTCTACTGTACATTGGTAGCACCACTCATTGTTTTTGAGAAGGTATTTTGAGAAAATATTCCCTCGTGTGAAAAATAACAAAGAGAAACAGCCTATATTCAAAAGTAATTAACATTTTCCTGATAATTAGTCTTGCAAGAGAAAAGGAGATCCCCTGTGGTATGTGGCTACATGCTGCAGGGCTTGTTACGGTTTGAATGTAAAAGGAAAGTATGCATAAATATAAGAATATATTTAATACAAGACTAAAATATATAGAGTGCATAAGAAAACAATATAGGCTGAAGAAATTCCTAAATCTATAAATAGTTTTATTGTATCATTTTTCTATAATCATGTTCTTTACACAACGTAGACTAGGGAATAAGTTGAAAGGTTTTTCATTCAAAGTAAAAATGATTTACATGTAAATCGAGGGATGGGTGAATTAAAGTGTCTTCAACAAAATTTATAAACATAAGAAAAATAACTGAATATATTTTCACAGCACTCTGTATGGGATTTTGTAAATCATGGAATCAAAACATTCATGTAGGGTCTTGTTACTACTTATACTTTTTGCCAGAGTTAGTCGATTAAAAAAAGTTTTAAGTAGTAACATTTCCTTTCTATTTTCCAAACCATCTATTTTAAAGCAAAAGAGAAACAGTAAATTCTAATATAAAAAACAGAGAAGAACGACACAAAGAATCAGAAAAGAATCAGAAAACCCTTTCAGCGTATATGGTTCTCAAAATCCCGGGGACAAGCCATCCTTTCAGCCAACCCTTTTATTAAAACCTAAAAGGTGAGAAGGGGGATACATTTGCAGGAGGGTGCACACGAACAGAGACATTCTAATTTTGAAGCCATTTCAGAAACCTGGCTAGGCTGTTTAAACACATATTTACACATAAGAACAAGAGCCCTCAGAAGCGAAGCTCTAAAAAAATGCTTTAATCAGATTTTCACTGGTGTCCAAAAGAAGGTGAGCACTTTAGGCTCCCAGTGGTGTCCAATGTACACTAGGAGTGCAAGCAGAGAGCCAGTGTTTGCCCTAATATCTGAGATATTCTTTTCTTAACCCTCTTTTAGGGCGAAGCCTCATCCATTAAAGATAACAGTAGGCCACAGTAAGAGAACTTGCTCTATAGCCCCGTCTTGGATCTCGGTGAAGACATAATTTAAGTATACTCGAGGGCTAACCTAATAATGTCTTGTCTTTTATAATGGAATTTCAGAAATGCTATTACCCGTGGTGTAAATAAACCTTTATGAGTAGGTTGTGAATAAAACTAATTTAATTATACAGCCATCATTTTGAGTACAAAATCATTTCTTGCACATGTTTTTATGATTAATGTGATTATATTTTTTACACTAAGTCCATGAGCCTTCTGTATAGTGGCCTCTAGTGGCAGCTGCCCCATAGTCATAGTCCTTGGTCTCTGCCCACAATTATTATATACATATATCCAAGGAAACCAAGTCAGCAAAGCTGGGGAAACAACTGCAATATGGGCAGTAATTCATTTTTGCTAAAGCAATTTTTTAAAACAGCTTCAAAACTTTTTACATTTATTTTCATAAATTAGGATGATTGATTAAATAAGGAAACCAGACTCCAAACAGTCAAAGAACAAGTTACCTCAATGTGTTTCAATCGCTAGAATCAAACTGAGCCAATGTCTGCTTCGCCACCTGTCTGTGGTTGTTTTCTGCCTTCAAAAGGGACAACAGTGCCTGAGGGTCATCACCCACTCAAGAAAGTGTATGTTCCCCATGTCCTAGCAAAAGGAGTGTGTATGGTGCAATACTCTTGGAAATGGCAGGGGAAGCCGACAAGATGAGCATTGACATAGACTTAAAAATACCCCGTCTACGAATGAGGGTGTTTGCCAATCTAATAGCTCTGATAGATACATGAAACCACCTATTATTGTCAATAAACTCAACACTATATTCATCTACCTAGGCTCTATCTGCTGCCCCTGATATGTTATCACGAGGGAATGGTGTCGTTCCTGTAGCACACTGACAGCTGCACCTGGATTTTTAACATTGTTGTGACGAGCATTAGGTTTGTTCAGCATTTTGTCTGCGACGCTCAGACCACTCATCGCATAGCCCTGACCGCACACCCAGTCATTTCTGCTTCTTTCATGCTTCAGAGAAGCAGCTGTCCAGCAGAGAACTTTGGAGATCAACTTTGATTTCTAACTTAATGGATTCATGTGTTTGCGGCACAGCGGATACAGTGTGGAAAAGTGACATACTGTATATGACAATTATATTAGCTAGAGCTGTAACTATTTTTATGTAAATGCTTTACCATGAGAATGCTTTAAAGTATTCATTGAAACATCTTTGTACTGTGTTAATCCATATAAGGCAGCATATGAAAATATGACAAATAGCCATATTTGAAAGATTTTGTCTATGGCTATATGTCCTTATGTTTAAATGCTTCATGCCAACAATCATTTTTAGTGAAATGAAATAATTCAGTCCTAGATGTAAGTTTTTATCAGTCTATCTCTTAACATTATGCTGACATAACTTTCAATGGTCATCTTCCACTTCAGTGTATATCATTCGTTTTGCACTTGGTAGAGCCATTACATAAAATAGGCTCCAAATTTAGAATGAAACAAAGCATTCTTTTTAAATACTTCCTGAAACGTAGCTAAACAAAGCAAGGCTGGTTATAAATACCTGTTCTCAGCCTGACAAAGGCAAGTAATAAGTCATCAGACTTTGATAAAGATTGAATATTATGTCTTACAAACTGTATTCTGATTAATAAAAGAAATGTTTTATTTTATTCCATTGTGTTTATCAGACCCCTTTTCAAACTTTCAGCACTTTCACTGTCCTTTAATTATGCATTTGGCAGCAACTGTGTCGCACTGAATGAGCCCTTCCATCTGAAAAGCACTTGTATTAAACGTGAACAATATACAGTACATGGAGATTGACTGCTCTGAATTACTCTCAAGTGCTTTAAGGTATTAACTGAGAAGACGCATTCAAACAGCAAGGACCTCAAACAAATATCCAGCTTGCTGGCATCTTAACATTCAAGTGGTAGGCCTATCTCTCTGACACAGCAACACAATGCCCTTTTCAGACAGTTGGACTGAGGCAGCTTCCAACAGCTGCATCTGAAGCCCAGGGACATTATTAATTAGCTGACAAATGATCTGTGATCCAGATTAGAGATACTAATCCAACAGGTGTTGGTGGCAGTGTTAAAGCCCAAGAGCTAACTGACATACAAGCAGTGAAAAGCATATTATCAGTAGAGATTTACCTTTTTCAGCAGGGAAATTGGGCTCACTTGCCCATGGATACAACTTTATTAAAAAAGAAAAACGCTTTTCAATTTTTGGCAGTTTGTGCCTTCACTTTACATTTTTGTGGACATCTGTTCAACAGTTTCACGCTTAGTACATTACTATCCAATAACTAACTAGCAAGTGCTACTCCAATATAATTCCCAGATAAACTATTCATTACTGTTTTAGGTACTACGTCTACCAAATATATTACAAGAACTCCATACTTGTAATGAGGATAACTTGTTATGCTATACTGTTACTGTAAGTAGGTTGTAAAATCCATTAAAAGCTAATGATAGAAACTATTCAATAAGCAGTTTAATTTGCTTTCTATCTTCCTTTCCTTCACACAAGTTTTTGAAATGTGGTTATTATTAACTATAGATGCAGCTTCCAATCTGACTTTACCATGAAGCCAAAGCTGTTCCTATACATCCATTTCCTAACTGCTTCTTCCAATTCCAGCTGACAGGACAGCCAGAGCCTATCCTGGCAAGCAATGGGCAAAAGGCAGGATACATCCTGGATGGAACGTCAGTCCATCACAGGACACACAAACACACAAACCAGTATACTACCAGTATATCTTTGGCAAAAATCCAGGGAGAACATACAAACTCCATACAGATAGCACCCCAGGAATTTAACCCAGGGTCCCAGCACTGCAAAAGCAGTAATTCTAACCACTGCCACTCTTGTTTATTTCAGTTGAATAGTATTAATAATACTGGAAACGTTTAACTAAATCTTAAAATGATTTGGGGGCATTGCCACTCTGTGTGCAATTAAAAATATACGTCAGAATACCATTAATTCTAGTACAAATCAAACTACATCCCATATCATCAGCATTAAATAGATAAACACTTTAACACTGATCAGTGTTGAATCTATTGTTAGCAATCATGCAACCAAAAATATGAAGTAATAATAAACATATGTCTGATCTGCAGCAGAAATTCTGGGACCAAGTGCTGAAATTAAAATCTTGTGAGAAGTTTGAAATATTGGAGCTATTTCTGTTTCTATGTTGTCACTTGAAGCCCATGAGAAAAATCATTAGGATGATTTGTGATGTGTTTTTTCCATCTCTGTAGCATTCCCAGAGAGGGAAAGATTTGTTTATCTTTGGTTAAGGTGTGTTTATCTATTTAACAGCAAATTGCCTTGTTTTGTTTATCTGATGTTGTAAAATTGAGATATGTGTTTATTTCATCAAGATAACCCTGAAACTCTATTGCTTTACCAACTGGGGTTCATACCAAGGTACTCAAAAGCCTTCACAATGTCTAATCTTGGACCATGTGCAAACTGCTTCTTTAGCATATAATTCCTGTACTATGTAATCACATTGCCTGCCTGTGAAACTTAGGGTAGATTTTAAAATTTATGTGCTTGCATGCATATCTCAGAATGGTTTAGCTTAGGGTTACCTTAAAGCTTTATTGCATAAATACAGTTAGACATTTAATCTGATATCTACAGACTAAAGTCTTCTTATTCTACCGAAGGCAGGGCTCTGCGCATTGGGAATGAGAGCCTTCTAGAGCTGTATGATTGAGTATTTCAATGCCCAGATGCATTAGAGACACTGTGACAGAACATTTGATTAAACAACGTGATTAATAATATATTTGCGCAACAGCTTTAAATGTATTATTTTGTTTTATTTCATGTGGTCATTTTCCTTTATTTTTTTACTTTTTTTATATTATTATACATGTACTATGGTTCAGCACTTTGAGTATTTAAAAAAAAAAACATTTATAGCTAAGAACACTATTTCTGAAGGCAAGGAAATGTATCTGCGCATATTTAGTAAATACTAAATAATTTCTCAGACCAGAGGCCACTGCACTTTGATTTGAGAAACAACTTCGTTCTAATCTCAAAACTGAATGATTGTACCCCATGAGCATTTCGGATTCCCATGAAGGGAAAAATACAATGACAATAATATTCCCAAAGTAACTGGGGTGAAAAAGAAATGCATCACTATACAATGGCTGCGTGCACTGAATGTGGTATTCCGATTTCTTACACAAACTCTCCACCCACACAGAGTTTAGATGTAGTCACGGAAGGAATGATCTCAACGTGTGCAACTGAGCACGAAGCCTTTTAGATGCAAAATTTAGTCAAACATGACAAATTTGTTGTTTTTTTAAAATTCACTTCCATTTAGTCAAGGTCTTAGCTGTTGTATTTACTTTCACATCTGTCTGTGTGAGCATATTATTTTTGCTATATTGTCTTATAAATCAGTAAGTTGGACAGCTTGACTTATGTCTTATAAGTTAGTGTGACAGAACAGTTTTTTGCCATGTTGTTGTAATGGAATTAATATTTACTCTATTGTCTATTTCTAGAAGCAATCTAGAATCTAGACCTAGATCATTTCTCTGCAAAGCAATCACCTTTGCATAGTAGATATAATATTTATTAATTACATGCAGCAATTATGTTTGCATTTACAGGAGCCTTTTAAGCATTAACTCAAAATTTCCCATTCATCCAGAAGTTCACATTCTGATGGTATCCTGGAGACCTATAAACCAGGATACTGTAAGAAACTGAAAGACAAATTGAGACTGTAAAACAAATTCCTATTAACAACTCCATAATAAGGAGAGGGCACAGCTGTGGAACAGCAATAACAACGACACAATTTCAAATCATCCGCAGCAAATGACATTTAAGAAAAGTAGAAGCGTCACCACTGGCAAAACTGTAACGCTTTATTCCATAAATCTGACAACTTCTAAATCAAGCAGGGTTCCTAAATACCTGCCCAATTAGAGCCTCATTGAAAGCAGCCTTCAATTAGGGCATTGACACTTATTTGTGCTAATTCTGCTCTCTCACTGAGTGCCCTATTTAAAGGCTGCCTGAAAAAATCAAAGGGATGTCCTCATGAATACCCAGTTTACTCTAACCTTCAAACACTTCACATGTGTTTGTTGCAGTTTCAGAAATGAATTCTGTTCCACTGATCTCTGTGCTGAAAAACCTGGTTCAGAGAAAGGAAGAGTTTTACATTATAAAGCAGGCTGGTATGCTGATTTCTCCTGCTCACAAATACTGTAATGTTTCTTCTTCATTCTGCATAAACAGTTAGCCTTTGAGACAAGCAGCACCATCTTTTTGATGAACATATTTCCTGTTACATAATGGTTCAACTACGTGTCTTTTAATCTCTCATCAATGTAGACAGCTCTGCTCATCTTACACCTGAGTTTTTTCCACTTTTAATAAACATTCTTACCGGTAGTTTACTGAAGGGATAAGACAATTGACAGTTTGGTGGACAGTGTGAGTTCCCTTTCAGCCCATGACGTATGTATATAAGTATGGAACAAACTTAAGCAAAAGCACGTCAATTATAATGATACAGATTTAGAAGTCAAAGGTCCCTTGCTTCCATTTCCTCTTACTGTTGCTGAAAGTATATACTAGCTGGGCACAATGCAGGTATCAAAAAATATATAACATGTGTACCTTTATAATTTTGTCCATAAAACCTTGATTTGGTTTTAAATAGTGCATATTGTGCATGTGCAATTTAGTATTGTTATCCACAGTACCTCAGGACCAAATGTTTTTCAACATTTCTAATTTTTCTCATTTCAAAAGGTTCCCCTTTTTTCCCAAGACTCCTTTTCAGCACCAGATCCTCCCTGGCTACCTTGATAACTATTTAAACACCATGTATTACGTTCCCTTAGTAGACTGGACATATACAAATTGGAGATATAGCATGACAACACACTTGTTTTGTTTTTGGAAGTATCAATTCCCGTTATGACGATAAAAGGGAATGAAGCAGAAAAATATGGCTATATGGATAAGAACCAAAAAAGAGATTTGGCAAACTCCCCCTAGAAAATGAAATTCACCTTTCCATATCCACTGGGATATTTCATTTGGTTAATAAGCAACAAGACATGACCGAGAAAAAATGAACTTTCTTTACTCACCAGTTCCAGGCAGTGTTTGATCTCCTCTGGAGAACAGAGAACCAGGCTGGTCTCTTGGCATTACTGTACTTCCCATACAGCTCTGAAATGGAATGAAAACCCAGCTCTCAGATAAAATCCTCGTTTCGAGTCCCCCTTCCCAGTCCTCCTTCTTTTTTCCAACAAGTCAGCAGGAAAACACGCGCAGAAGAAAAGCTGCTCTTCAAAAAAAAACTGTAAAAGAACAAAACAGAAAAGAAACCTTAGGAAGACTTGCGTGGCTGTTTAATTAGGGACAGCACTCTTTGGCTCCCTGGTGCGAGATGCATAGAGAATGAATATGCAAAGAAGCACCATCTCCGCAACCGCTGAAGCAGTTGTGGGATGTGAGTGGCACGGCTCTCCTGGAGAGTGAGAGGAGCCTCCTTACAGGACTCTCTCACAGCAGAGCCCTGTGACACAAAGCTCCCCTGTGTTTGTTAATTGAGCCGCGCAGGATGGAAATAAAGAATAGGACTGGAAAAGAAAAACCACTGAGGCTCAGCACAATAGCTCAGGCTGAGGGACAAGCAAGCAGCCTACTGAGGAATCAGCGAGCGTGCACGCTTGTGAAAGACGACTCTATTCCCTTTTCATTCATATCCCTGTGCATTAATGCTGCTCCTAACAATTTCCAACCAGCCCCTGTTTTCAAAACTACAAACCCACATCGTGATTTTGGTTTTTTTTTTACGGCCTTTCTTGACTGTTTATCCTTTTTCCTGCTTAGGTTTTGCATTCCTCAGGACATGATGAAGCGGCATCAAGCTGCAAACTGCCATCAGATTTTGCCATCTTCACAGAAATATTCAACTCCTACCTGCGATGCAAACTTAAGGAACAGTCTGTTCTTTAAACCATAATGAGTAGTAAATAAATGTACTCATTTTGCATGTTGTCAGAATGATCATAAACCCAACTTATATATGTCCAGTTTTCTTTGCTAGTTCTTCAAAATTCAGTTGAATTTGTCTATCTTTACAACTCCTAAATACTTCTGATATCTTTACATTAGCTGAAACATTTTTCAAAGCAAGCAAAGGAGTAGTTCCTATGATTCTATGAAAATAAATCATACTCTGTAATGGCTTGATACAGTTGAAGCCTTCAGGATGTAACAGTAAATCTTAAAAGTCACTATCCAGATTGATAAGCCCTGGCAGAAAGCACTTGGGTGACATGTACTGTAGCTGCAGCAACTGTATGTACCAACAGCCCCACAGCACAGCAGGTCAGGTGGGTAATTGAGATATTACTTCAACAAGGGAATTACAGCGGAAATTCAGATTAGCTGATTTAGCTTTAACACTACATCTTACCATGCCATGGGATCTATAACAGCCCAGAACCTCAAAACCTAAGTTTACCATTTCATCCAAAAGGACACTGAAATATCTGGGATGTTGAAAGTTTCTGCCACTCTTCTGTTCCAACACCTTAATTTGTAATATCACAGCGCTGATCCATCAGAGTTTGTATCTCACTTTGTAACTGCTGCTAGAAAACTGGAATGTCCTGCTGCTGTAGAAGAATGTGACAGCTCATGTTCACAGGCCAAATCAGCACAGGCAACAATTCTTCGCCGAGGGTCTGAATAATTCACCCTACAGTGGTGGATCCAGATTTGACCTCCAGTGTCTACATATCATTACAGTTAAAGTGTGCACCATACAGTTAATAGTTTCAATTCTAGAAGTATGCCCCATGTAAGTGGTTTAAGTAGCTGTTGAAAGACTTTACATTTTAGGGAACTGCTATCTTTGATGGTATCTGGAAAAAAAAATCACTATTCGACGATGTTTGATGTTGATGACATCTTTACCTCAGCTTTCCCTAATAGAAACACATCTCATGATATGATTTGAGTGATTTTTATTGGGTCTTTGTAGTTAAGTTTAACTTACAATGCTCTTTCACTATTTCAGCAAAACAAGCTTTTGAAAACACATAAAAAGCAAACAGAAATGAAAAGTACAGGACAAGAAAACTGGAAGGATGCTGTGCTTTTTCCAAGGTGAGAAGTTACAGTGGCTCAATGCTATAGACCTCCCCCACATCACATCTTCCACAAAGAATAGTTTGCTAAAATACTTTTAACGGCTCCAGTAGGAAGTAGAAACACACACAACCAGCAGGAGATGATAGAGCAAATAGTGATTTACTAAATGGATGCAGATAGTAAAAAAGGTTTCTAACAGTATTAGAGATTCTCCTTTAACAGAGCTTTCATGCACATATTTAATCAGTAATGGTTACACTAGGTCAGCACCTGTGCTTTGAATTGTAAGGTTCTACAGTTAATTAATCTCTAAATGAATTCTAAAGTTAATTATTCTCTTACATCGGCAGCGGAACTTTTGATGTGGCAGCCAAGACCTGGGATTTCCTGCAGTTTCTAAGTGGAACAAATGAAAAAAAGAAAAAAAGGGATCAGCATGAACTATTTGTCCTTTCTTAAGAAGTATATTACAACACCAAAATTAAAAGCCTTACCTTTGCTTAACTGTAGCCAGACTGCGATTTTCAAAGCCAACATGTACTCTCCACCAGCAACCAAAACTATCACAGGTACCAAGCAACAGAAGAAATTATCAGCTGTGTCTCCCTTTTCTAAAAGGACAATCAGTTTTTATAACCCTTTGGGATTTACAAAGGCCAAGTACACTGAACATTCTGCCATGGTTACCAGAAACCAGTCAATAAGGCGCTGTGTGAACAAATGCCGCAGAACTTCGAGGGAAGAAAGTTCTACTCTCTAGCTGAAACAGCCTTTTTTAAGAAAATGAGGATTGACAAGGTGAGCTGCCTCCTGTGAAATGATGAAAAACACGAGCCAAACGATGTCAGGGCTACAATTCTTTTGACCTATTTTAACTTCACATATCAGACCTGGGAGAGTTCATCTTGCATTTGTGCATTTTTTCTTTGTGGTTGGTTTTGAATTTGAACTACTGTCAATCTAACCCACATGTATTTATTTAATATCTGGTGGGGAAAATGCTATTGCTCATATTTGATGTTGTTACCAACTTATATTAAGAGAAAGAGAGAGGAAGCATACAGTATGTGTACATTCATGGTCAACATTTTGAAACTTGATCTTTAAACAATAATGGACAAAAACCTTTTAGGTTGCATTAAATGTCCCATTTGTTTTTTGAAACTGAAAATAAAAGATCCTTATGTAATAAAAATAATACAATATCAGTGTTGTTTTCTTAGATAAAAACAGGAATTATCTGGGTACAGCAGTAAAATAACATGGATACAGTCCATTCTGTAACATTACAAGTATCAATTTATCTATGAAAATGGACATGATGTCAGAATACAAAGCCTGTTAACTGTATAATGATGTCATTTAATAGCAAAAAGATAAATTAAAGCTGTTCTTCCAATGTTCTGTTCTGTCCAATGACAAGCCTTAAGAAAGGTCAATAAAGTGAAATGTCAAATGTTTAATCAATAAAGGGTATTTGGAGAGAAGTAATAGTGTTTGAGCAATTTTACATGTGTTTACCAATATTTTCAAATATTACTCACTGCAGCTGAAAGCACATTTCTCTGAGCTAAGAGGTTTACTCCAGTACTATAGCACTTCTTTTCATGCTTACCAAATAAAAAAGGGGGTTTTGGGTTTGAATGGTTTCTTCGTGACTGGAGTTTAGGTGAATAAATCATGCATTGCTGGTGGCAAATGAGAAAAAGAAAACTCCGGGCTCACAGGATCACAGATTTGCAGGCTTGTTGTGCGTGAGAAAGCATCAACAGATTTGCACGAAATAACCAAACAGTTTAGTTTCTCATTTCCTCTTTGGCATAAAAGTAGCTTTGAAGTAAGGGAATAATTAATGTGTTATAAAGAAGCTTGAAAATACATTGCATATTAAAATTAATTAATAAATTAATTACTATAAGCATTAACACTAACAACTCTGGGTGGCATGATGGTGCATTGGTTAGCATTCCTGCTTCACAGTACTGAAGCCCTGGGCCCAGTCCCTGGGGTGCTACTGTATTTGCATTGAGTTCGCATGTTCTCCTACTTGTTCTTCCGGGTGTTCCAGTTTCTTACCCACAGTCCAAAGATGCTACACTTGATCTTAGCCGTATATTTCAGTGGTTTCTTGTGCAGCTAAAACCAATGCTGTTTCTGTTCTTAGGACTGGAACATTTTAGATATTTTTCCTTCGTAACTCCTGTGTGTTTTTCTTTGTTCTTTAGTTTTCTATTTTTTCAATGATTAATCTTCCTAGTCAATATACAGTATTATACCCCTGTTTTGTATTCGATAGTCCTTCAGATACTAACCAGCATTTCTTTGACTTTTTAATCTTATGTTGTAATCTGAGTAATGGATATAAAAATGTTGAATTCATGGTATGTATTATACTATAGCCCGATTCTATTCTCTTCTTTTGATTAGTGTATTAGTTACTGTTATCTGCATCTGAGCAATGTGGCCTAAATATCAGTTGCACTCTGATTTATCTAATCACTTGATATTAGTAATTTCCTGGATAATAATGTTAAAATGAACCTTTTGTGCTAGGGCGCAGGCTTTTCCCACCACTTTTATTAAAAAGTAAACACACTTTTGACTACAAACCTTATTCTGCCAAAAGAAAAATCCTGTTCTCACTTTCCTTTTCACAATTGCAATTATCTCCTTCATTCCCTTGGTACAGTATGTGTTTGTGTTTACTTTTACATCTTTGATTTCTACTCTGATATTTTTACCCTTTCTCTGCTAACTATCACTTTGCAGATTTTTAATATCTAATTACATGTGCACTTTATTAATTTGAACCATTTTTGTGTTTGTTTTGGGTATTATCCTTAGAAAACTCATATCACCATAGGCAGTTGGCAGATATTTTATATCCCATCCAGTGTTTGTTGGGGTCATCATAGGGCTGCATGAGGTAAGAGAGCAGAGGTTTTACAAATCTAGACTTGCCACACTCTTATTTTTCTCCTAGCTGAAAAATATTGAGAAGTCCAACATTATTGCTATTCGAGGTGTGTGCAACTACTGGAAATCTAGATTTGTAACCCATCTCTTTTCGGCAATCAAGAACGTCTCAGCATCTTAACTCACGTCTACGTTCGGATGGACAGTAACCACAACCTGCAACTGCATCATTTATTCGGTAAATGAATGTATTCGAATTTCGGTAATTTACCGAAAACATCGCCACTGCACACAAAAAGCAAAGCTTGGAAGACTGCGCAACCTTCACTTCGTGTATGTAAGTATGACCTAGAACAGCTTCGATGCGGAGATTGCAATGTCTGCTCGGTGACATGTAACGTAGAGATGTAACGCTACCTATTTCACTGGCAACTCAAACCGTCGTCTGGCTTGATCCCGCAGTTTATTTCCAACAATTACATTTGCATTATCATGTATATTGAAAAATTACGATCCCTCCCTGTATCGTCAGGGTTGTTTTCGATTGGCTTCGCCTAAGGTTATTTTCAGATAGATAACAGTACATCTTGCATGGCATGGAAATAAAATGTCTTACCTTACCGAGTTGAAATTTGTGTACCAAGAAAAATGAAGACCATTAAAGTCACACGCTGCGCACCATTTACTTTTTTGTGAATGAGGTTTATGTACATATTTGCTTCAACAGCCTTTTACCATTTGACAAATTTGTTATCTGACACTGCGTTGCTAGACAGTAACCGAATGGCTGTGAATCAGTAAGTGAATGACAACCAAGCTAACATATCACACATTACAGGGGGCTGGGCTTCTTTTCTGTCGCCAGCGGAAACACAGAACTACAGTAATACCTACGAGACGTTACAGTATGATAAAAAGAAATAGTCATTTCAAGTGCATACAGCTGGAATAAATGTAGTGCACTTTGAAATGGTGAACAGCGGTCGTAGATATGAGTGACACGTCAAAACAAAGAAAAGGGTTATACACTGGAAAAATACTTTAAATATCTCTCTCAGATGATAGATCCTAGTCTCGCTTGTTGGAGCTTTCCAAGGTTCTGACACGCTCTGATAGTAGCATCAAATAGCCAGTGTGGGAATAGTTAAATATATAACCTGCCTACTCTGACTCACTGTTGTACGCTGTATTAATTGCAGAGTAGATAATAGAAGGGGTTTTTGTTCCACTGAAATATTCTTTGTCTTGATTAGAACAATTGAAGTGTGGTCCATTTCCACGTTTATAGAGCATTTTAGATAGAGCCGAGAGTGAGTGGGATGGTCTTTTAAGAAGTAAAGCCTGAACTAACCGATTCAAATTACTTTTGTTTTGGTGCATTTAGCCATGAAACCTGCAACAGCAGATAGTCTATGGATTTGTACTGAACTATCACAATACTGTGTAGCATAATTCAATTACATAATTGAGAAATTCGTTTCCGTCTCTGTAGGAATGCTTGTAAAAAGTAACTTTATATAGGCACCTGAAATGCCTTTATTTGAAAACATAGTGATGATGTTTAAGGTTGTACGCGTATAGCATCTTGGATCCTTTGTTTTTGTGATTTAGTTTTTAAAAATACTTTTTTATTATGACGCACTGTATTTGCTTAACCCTCTATTTGTAACAATATGTATGTGTATGAATTTGTACTCACCTATCACAATACTGTGCAACATAATTAAAGTGCTCCTTCACCAAGCAACATTTCTGTGCCACAAATTCATAATATACAATATTTGCCAAGAATGTACTTTAGAATTGAGTATGCTTCAAGTGCTTTTATAGAAAAAAATTAGTTACACATTTCATAATGCCTGTCTTTTTGTAATGAGAAAATATCGTCTTTGCTGTTGCAATGGTTATTATCATTATCATGCCTGAACAAATATTGCTCAAATACAAATTTAGGTTCATTTCACACGTCCCTTTCTAGAAATACAATTCAGTTCACAAATTGCGTTTACAAAGATTAATTAGTCCTAATTTGAAAGTAGACTAATTTATTTTGAATGAATTACTATTTCCAAAAAGCTAACAAACCAAATTCTTTTAAAATCATCAGTGTTCATTTCAAATCACTCCAGATATGCATTTAATTAAAAATCCAGTGGTTATCAGAAAAAGAAACTCTTAAACAGGAGCAAAGAATCCTTATATGTGATTAATCAAATATTTAAGATTGATCGGTGACTACTTCTCATTGCTATGGAGATAATAGAAAGGGCCTAGAACACAAACACAGCCCTAATATATTATATATTATATTATATAATATTAATATACATTTTCCTCATAACGTATTGGAAAACAATTACAATTGTTTTATAAATTACAAATTGATACTTAATTGATTTGACATACAGCATTTGTGTTAGAAACATTTACTTTACAGAGACATTGATATATCTGTAAAACCTTTTTTCCTAAATAAAGCACAATATAGCAAAGGACAATGAGAGAAGCTGAATAATAATGAAAAGAATAAATCAATGAAAGCTTAAAGGATCCTTGTTACATTACTTCAGGTGGGTAGTGTTGATAAAGGGGAATTCAGGAAACATGGTAGTGGGAAAAATGCACAGTTCACCTCAGCCAGGGCGCCTGGAAAGGGCTGAGGAGTGAGAAACACAGCCAGGTTGACAGTTTGACTGGGTTAAAAACAAACTGCAATGTTAACCTGACTTGTGATGCCCTAGTGGAGTGCCAATGACAGTATATTAATAGAAATTAGCTTTTATCTTATGATATTAAACTAATTTCAAATCACAAATGAAGGAAGTGGTTCATTTTTTAGCTATATATATGATTATTGCTTGTTTCAATGCCAAAGAATGCAGAAACTCACACATGCATATAGGAAGGGACCCACTTCTTCCGCCATGGATGTGTAGTACGTACAGTACATGGATGACCCAAAGCACCACCAACCCCATTACACAACAGGTCAGGTGGAGAAGTGAGAATTTACTTCAACAAATAAATGAGGCGTGACATTTTAGGGAAACTGAAAAGTGCAAGCCCAAGTGTAATTCCCACAGAATACCAAGGTTTACATACCTACCTTAAGGGTGGGTTCACATCCCTATCTTACAAACACAGTGACAAGGGGTCATTAATTAGCAAGTACTAGGAACAGTATCAGTTTAAAGTATCATTTAAAATTGCCGGTTCAAATCCCACAGCCAGCAGAGGAATCCTTCTCCATTGGGCTCCTGAGCAAGGCCCTTAACCCCAGCTGCTCCAGGGGCACTGTACAATGGCTGACCCTGCGCTCTGTCCCCAGGCTCTCTCCCTGTCTGTGTGTCTCATGGAGAGCAAGCTGGGGTATGCGAAAAGACAAATTCCTAATGCAAGAAACTGTAAAGCGTTATTAAAGTGCTGTTATAATAATAATAATAATAATAATAATTATTATTATTATTATTATTATTATTATTATTATTATTAT